GTCATGGAACTTTGATGCCAACATGCATACAAAGTATACTGGAGCCCGGATGCGAATTTCCCAGTTCTTCCCGATGGGTTTCTTCAATTCGACAACATGACCAGCATTTCAGTTTGTGTTTTATAATGTACAAAATGAGCAAATTTATTTCATTTTACCGGTGCCATGTTCATTTGCTTATTCTGTGACGTACACGTATGTTGAAATTATTTTATTTTGTTTCAGTGTTCATTGTATGTTCCAACGAGGTAAAAATCTTGTGACGTGAGTTCACCATTACTTAATTGTTTGTCATATGCAGGGCCCCAATGGAAACCTGTTTTTAACTGTTTGGGCATACCCTGGGTAAACACATGTGAATGCAATAAATGGCCAGATCCCATGAAATGAGTCACTTAGGGCCACTTTTTTTCTCTTCCAGTAATCTAGTGTGATGATCTTTGAAGCGTTTCATGGTGAAGATGGCGAATAAAGGAAAGGTTTGCGGGGCACCATGTGAAGATACAATGTACATGTATCTCTTTTGTTGAGTACTGAAAAGGACCAGAGGGTTTCGACAGTTGTATGCTCTGTCCGTCATCAGAAGACTGCCAGGAGTCATCAGGGGACGTCCGTCCAATGACAGAGAGAGCATACCGGTGCTGTCCGAAATGTTGAGTACCCTCCGGTTCTCTTCAGAGCCACACATACGGTACAAAAGAGATATCCTTACATGATGCTACTGCAAACCTTTACCTGTACTTTATTAATCTGGTTTTAGTTTGCACATGAAAGCGCAAACCGCGCTACATGTACGTGTACTGGTTTCGATGTTAATTTGCCATGTTGAGGAAAATGGACATTATGAGGGTGAAAAATGTTGAAGAGTCCTACCCCCTATTGACTTCTGTACAAGCCAAGGCTTCCAATTCATTTCATAAGGTTAGGTTATACTGTGCATGTATGCGATCAGAACCAGCAAAGCATGTCTTAAGTAAAGTTTTCTCACTGTTTTGATTTTTCACCCACTTTGGCGTCCAGATGAAAATGGACACTCTGAGGGTGAAAAATGTTGGGGACTCCCAGTGATTTACACGGTGCACTTCGGCATCCAGATGAAAATGGACTGCACTTTGGCATCCAGATGAAAATGGACACTCTAAGGGTGACAAATATTGAGGACTCCCAGTGATTTACACGGTGCAGGGTTCTCTTGAAGGCCTTTCACTCAAAAGTTGCTCTGACAATGTCAGACTCCTTTTATTACATGTACATTGGATCACATACACAAGTTCATGTCTGCAACGAGCAGACCATTAAACAAATGATCCGTCCGGTTTCATTCAAGGAATGAACGTTCAATGCCCACCTGCATTTTCGGGTTCACAGGAACAGTGTACATAAAGGGAGTTTAACTCCACTCAGCGCAATATATAAAAATGGATGTATCTGAAAATCACCGGGACAAGAATAATTCCTCCCATGCCGGTGAGGCAATATCGAGTTTGCGGACTTGCAATTTTTTTTGCTCCAGATTGAGGCCGGAGCTTCCGTTAATAAAAAGTCAGTCTCAGAAATGCTGGACAGAGGAGACAGAGAGCGAGAGAGAGCTGGTGAGAAGGAAAAAAGTACAGATTCGAGAGGTTTCAAAAGACTGGCTCTACGGCAGGAAGGAGGTGAACACACGCACACACAAAAAAAAGCAGCGTTGAAACATTATCTCTGCACTCCGGTTACAGGGACTTTGTGACAGATTGTCTAATTGGATGAAAGCTGGGCTAGTCTGGCCCCTGATTGGTTGGGGCTGGGGCTTTCTCTCACCATGTCCAAGGGGGGGGGAGGACTGACACGATGAAGATGGTGCGTGGATCTTTTCTAGGCTTGGATATTGGGAACTCCAGCACTGTTACCATGAGATTGTAGGCATGTTTGCAAGCTGAAATGTATCTACCTGGGAATGTGCATGCACCTGTGTTTGTGACTGTACCCAATACAATCGGTCTTAGATGTGACTCCAATTGTTTTAGCAGCTTTGTTTCAATGGGTCGATCACATGAATAACAGAAAGACTGCAAACAGAGATTTTTGTCCTGATGTACAGTGTCTTGTTTCAACTTCAGCTACCCAGGTCAATGAGCCATTCACAAGTGGATGTTTGTCCATTTAATAACTTGATATAACAGTACATGTATACACATGTACGTACATGTATTACATTTTACACTACTGTCAAAATAACTCCTTCCTTTATAAAACTTCTGTTCGTCACCCGCCTTCGTTGGTAAATTTTCAGCGAACAAATTACCCACAAAATGCTGAAATTTTTCCGAACAGCTGTCTCCTGACTCTGTTGCAACAAAAAGGAAAGTCCATTGTTAACAGCTTTTGGCAGTTCTCCACCTACATGTAATTGCTTCGTGGCATCCTCTTGATAATACAACTGTTAACCGTCAAGTGACAAACAGCGCTGCGTTTTGAAAAATGAGCGCTGCATGGCTCTGACACTGTAAACAACACGAGCACTGAGAGAACCGGTACTCAAAAAGACAAAATATACATATATCACCGAGGCATCAACTGCATGACTAATTGGATCCCATTACAAATTTTTAAAAGCAAGCGGTCATACCAAGGATGAAAGTAACGCTTGTCAAATTTGCTCCTTCCCTGATGCCGTTTATTTTTCAATAAACTCTGATGGATTTTTGGCTCTTATATTCAACATCGATGTTGAATACAAATTATGCCATCAATCATGATGCCCGTTCCTTCCTCTTTCGGGGCTCAGGACAAACAGAAAAAACCAAGCGTTCTTGGACGAATGACCGTATGACCGATGACCAGCACTTAACAACTGTCACGGCACAGTTCCGTGCATGCTTCAACGTAAAGTTTGCGCATAAGTTGAATTCGTTTCCCTCAATCTTTACTGTTCTTTTATTCTTCATAGCAGGATCTGTGGTAACACTTCCTTTTTTTCCAAACCTTTTCTAATTTGATAGCCGCTTCACAGTTACCGTACGTTCATGGGAAAAAGTCCCAACACAATCTTATTCAAATCAGGAGGCTTACACGTATGAATAAGCCAGGAACTGGTCACAAGCAATACAAACTGTATGTTGTTATGGTACCCCGCTTTGCTAAGCAAACATTTTCTGTGCCTCTAAGCACATTAATTTAATGGGCAATTTCTTAATCTGCTCAACAGTATCTTGAAATTTGGCCCCGATATGGAGATGAGAAAATCTGTGCAACACATGTCCGTCTCGTATTCTACACTGTACACAGGTACCAGCATGACAAGCCTTCTGATTGGACAGTGATACAGTGAAAAGCCGCTTCACAGTTACCGTACGTTCATGGGAAAAAGTCCCAACACAATCTTATTCAAATCAGGAGGCTTACACGTATGAATAAGCCAGGAACTGGTCACAAGCAATACAAACTGCATGTTGTTATGGTACCCCGCTTTGCTAAGCAAACATTTTCTGTGCCTCTAAGCACATTAATTTAATGGGCAATTTCTTAATCTGCTCAACAGTATCTTGAAATTGGACAGTGACATGAGGACCATTCTTTTGATTGGACAGTGACTTGAGGACCATCCTTTTGATTGGACAGTGACATGAGGACCATTCTTTTGATTGGATAGTGACTTGAAGACCATTCTTTTGGTTGGACAGTGGATGTTAAAAGACCCACTGAAGGGTGGTGTACACCATCGGTTTTTTGTCGTAATTTCACAAGATTGGCTGATTACGGTACGTAATATTCACTGCAACTTACATTCCACACACTTATTTCATGATTGAGCCAACTGCTTTGTGAAAAATCGAGAAAAACAAGTGGCATTTTCAACGCTTTAATTGAGGGTCTTGTAGTGTATCTTGCGTAAAAGGGCATTCGTAGTACAAGCGCACATCGTCTGCGGGGTCAGGTTGGGAAGCAAGCATGACAGGCTCTCATTCCCTTGAAAAAGGAGCAGTTTTCAACGGCTGGGCGTAATCAGTGAATTTACCATGGAGTAATGCGCCTCCTCGACAATGCAGCTTGCAGATTCATGGAAAAACTTCATCCAGGAACACAGCAGTCGACTCGCGTCCGTGACATCGAAACGAGTAGGCCTATATGATAATGCACATGCGCACGCGCGATCATGTTTATAACAGCACTTTCATGTCAGTTCTCACGTCGATGAAAGTCTAAAACACCATTCATAGTTGAGTCATTAATAATTATAAGTAAAAATGAATTATGTCTTAAAACAAGGGAGGATTAACATGTGGAAATCATACTTTTTGTTGATGGAAATCTTTGTGTCGGAAACAGCTGCCATACTGGATCATACCATTATTATCTAGGCGTGATTTTGAATTCGCAAAGTTTTCCGTTAAAATAAACCTTTCCTTAAATAAAATTCAACGTCACACGGATCCAATTTATTTTCTACTTTACGCCTAACACTCAGGTTTCTATAATTTCAGTTCACAGTGTTTTTGGTGAAAGAACGTCAGTATATTTAGCTGCTTTTACGTTTATCCGTTCATTAATGGAGACTCCTACAACATCTGCAAACACTTCATACCAGTATAAGAAATTTGGCGCCTGTTAAAAGGATGTGATGCGCGAAGTGAAATTAACTCTATTACGATGGTCGGCCGACCATCATAATAAAAGAGAAAAAATTTTAGTTTTTCTCGAAACTACAGCATTCTGGGTGGAAATATTTTACAGACTGATTGAGACGGTTGTGTATTTTCTTTCAAGTAAGATATTTCAGGATTATATGGTAGTCCGATTTTCGAGATTTTACCAATGGTGTGCACCACCTTTAATGCTCTAAAGACAAGCCTCCTGACATGTACAGTAGCATGATGACAAGCCTTCTACTTGGACAGTAACAAGAAAACCAGGCCTTCAATTGGACATACCCACTTAATGCTATAAGGATAAGCCTCCAAACTGAACAGTAACATGAAGACAAGCCATTTGATTGGACAATAGACGTTAAAGGGACCCACCTCCTGATGGGAGCGTTCCAATTCCTCCTCCAATGAAGAAACCCGTTCCAGGGCCAGCCGCAACCGCTCCCGAACCTTTTCGTCCAGCGCCTTGTGGTGTTCAAACAGGGACTTGAGGGCTTTGAGGACCTCCACCTCCGAGGACACGCCGGCTGGAGAGGACGCCTGCCGCTTGACGACCGTCATCCTCAGGGAGCGCTCGTGCCGTGAGACTAAGCATTCAAGATGTTCCAGTAGCAACTGGATATCAAGAAGATTGGGAAAGGCTCATGTTTATATAAGACTATGGGTAAAATGCGAAAGACTGGAGCAAGATTCAACCTTACTTTGTTTAGAATTCACAACTCACTGATTTTCATGTGAAAAAAATTGGGAAGTCCGATGGCCATTTTGCTCTGTTTAAAGAATGAAGCCATTTAAAACTGGTTCCAGATCCTTCCATTGGAATGTGACAAGGGAGCACGCCTCAACCACTCCCCCGTCACTTAAACACAATTCTTTACAATCCGTTGTTTGTAAATTCACAGTCAGGAAGAAAGTGACTACACTTCCAACAGCCAAAGGTATACCAAGATTTGTTTGAAATGGCTATCAGTGATACAACCCCTCCACTACCCTGCATGCAGGCCCACCTACATGTATGTACATGTACACGTACATTTGCATGAGTACGTATGTAAATGTATGTACATGTACGTACATGTGGGTAGGCATTCACCGTGCTAAGGGAAATTTGAACTGAGTTGCGGGGACATTTCTGAGTCCCCACAACGTTTTCGGCCCCCACAAAATACCGGTAGGTGAAATATCGCGAGTAAGTCCCCACAACTCAAGTGCAGGAGTACGTGTCCATGTTAACCAGCCCTCATGGCAAATACCTGTTCAGCCGTACATTATACAAAAGTCATTAAAGTCTTTGTTTGGGGAAAATGCAAGGTATCTACCGGTCGATACAATGTACATCGTATGCAACTGGGATTTCATAAAAAAAAGAGAACGAGGAACTTCCCAACTGCTCAAGGTTTTATATGGTGTCTTTTGATTTCCAATAGCGTACACACACATAATCTGCTGATCTGAGGAAAAGTTCCTTGCCTGGACACGATTTCAAGTGGCCTCTTTCTTCTAACATCAAAAGCAACTGTAAAAATCCATGTGACTGGCTTTTAACTGATTAGCAGGCCTCCACATGGAATTCTAAATTCCGATCCCCCAAAACTGCTTACCCTTGTGTTGTTCCTCTCCGCTTTTAGTTCGGCTATTTCCTCCTCTCGTTCTAAAAGTTGTTCCCTGGATTGGTTCAGTTCCTTGGTCAGAGTTGCAAATTCCTGGATAGACAAAATGAATGCAAGAAAACCCATGTCACACACTTTGCTCTCGGTCATACATGAAATGTAAATGTAACGTACTCACTAGGCATCTAGTTGCCTAGTGCCATCAGTGGAAATTTGTACTGCAGGAAGGGTATTTTCTGAACGTGAAATGAGGATGTCGATTCCATGTTTTTCCCCCAGTGTTCAATACTGAAATTCCTCAGCAATATGAAAATCCTCCACCTGCAGGTACGTGGTCTGGGTACCGGTCAAATACAATGTACGTGTACACTAGCACACACAGTTATGCCTTGGCAATAACATTACACAAAGTAATACAAAACAATTGGGGTTAGCAATCTGCTGGGGAGTTTCCTGAGGATTGAAAAATTATTCAGATTTTTTCGCATCTTTCTTCAGTTGATCATCTCTATTTCCTGCAATTGATTTTTGCATCCAAAGCAATCCATTCACCCTAAAATGTCCAATCAGCAACCCAGGTGACAATCACGGCTTTTCAACGGAATGTGCATGGCCCATTCCTCAATCAGCAGTACAAAAATACCATCCAGTCTAACCTCCAATAAGGAGCAGCTCTGAAAGCAAGAAAGCTGAGCAACCCCCCCACCCCCTGAATTTTTCAACATTCTGGAGCCCGGTCAGTCACACATCACGCTGCGCAAATAAACACGTCGGTTCCCTTCTCCCAAGTCCAGGCAGACGAGACTTAATTCACAATTTATGATAACGAACTGACTGCCAACTCAACTTCGGTGGCCAAACCCTTTTTCTTTCCCTTCTGCCTGCAGCGCCCACACTTTGATTACTGCAAGGACTGACACAGAGAAATCTCCCCCCCCCCCATCTCATCTTTCAGCAGTCTGCACGTTGACGGGTAAACTGATCTGACGCGGCGTGAAAATGTTCCCAGATTTACTGACTTAAAACTCGGCACCCCGGGGACAGAACTTTGGGAGAACGAGTCAGTCTTCCAGAATTGCTGACAGCTCAGCGAGTTCAGAATTTGCATTTGAAATATAAATAGTCATAATTCATGTATGCAGTTACTTTGTTGAAAATAAGTGTCCGCCAGCAACACGTATATACAAAACATATAAAAGTGATGCCCCTTCATTCCTAAGTTCAGAAAGCCAGGGAGTATTCGTCCCATGTCAAAGAACCCCATGAGTACACATATCTACATGTACGTATGTGGGTTATTCCAGAAATCAGGGATTCAAGAGAGTGACATTTTGTGTCCCTGTTTTCTCTGACCTTTGTTATTTGACAAGGAAATACCACCGGAATGATTTCAAACTATTACTATTTGTTTGGCAGGTAATCTGCATCAATCCATCACTCTTTGAAATTATAAAATCTGTTCTGAACTTACAAATCATATGTCAGATGTAATAGGGACACGAACAAAAATTGGACCCCTAATTTCTGGACTAACCCATGTACATCTAAAAACAAAAAATTTAATTCTTGAAAGATGAAGTTTTGAATGTTTGAAAGCATGAAGCTTGTATGACTAGTTAATGACTAAAGTAAAAAGAGCAAGTTATAGGCAAAATTTGGCGGGTCAATACCAGGAACCAAATGAAAGTATGTGTACACGTCTATCTTTCCTTCCGTCTTATACGTACCTTACAAATACAAGTAGGCTAAACCTCATAAAAGGCATAAGAATTATTAGCTTCTTCATATTTTTTAAAGAAGCCATTGGATTGCATTTCGATGCAATTATCAGGCCGTCCAGTGTGCATGATGCACAATTTAGGTATCCACTTAAGAATGTCCCCCCCCTTGCTGCAACCTGACACGGTGCCCATTCCTCGCTTTGTCCCAATTCAGATACAGTAATTCCTGAAGTTTGCAGCAAAGGATTGGTCGCAGGACTACTAAATCCCCCCAACCCTCAACAAATTAAGCCGGGCTTGAATGACAATAAGGGAGGGGGAGTCTCGTGGGAGACGCTCATAAGGGTCAGGCGCGATCATAATGCCGTTGTCCAGCGGCATGCTAGCCAGTGCCCTCCTGAATGATCGGACGATCTCCGAGCGAGTCCCCATGAGACTGGAACGGAGGGAGAAAAAAGACAGCAAAATGCCATCGCGATTTACGGTCTACTCAAAAAAAAAAAAAAATAGGGCTGCGGATTTAAACTCTGCAGATATGGGAAAAACAAGATAAAGAGATGGTGAGAAAAACGACCGTCAAGAGGGGCAAACACGCTTTGCCAAGCGACAAAGCAGGCCAGTGCGTTCTCACGCATTTGTTTGTAAAAAAAGATCCTGGATTGCATCGAACTGCTACTGTGTCACAGGGATTTGGAAGTACCGTTGAGCACATTTTAAACCTGTCAAAAATATTTTTAAAAGCACACTGTTTAAAAAAGCTGGCTAATCTTTTGCCCAACGTTGGGTACCAGGTGAATCGCCCGGGGAAAAAAATACCCAACAGCTGGTTTTATCTTCTACAACATGGGCAAACTTGTCTCATTGTTCCAACCATTTCAGAGAATGTTATTTGTACTACCCCTTTTTCACCCAGAGTTTTGATCTTCTTGCCCAGGAAAACACCTGGTGCCCAACGCTCAGCATTTCACCATGTATGTACCTGACGTCTTGATCCCTGCAAAATCCTTCTCAAAGGCAAAATGACAAGGCAACAGCAGAGATTAAGCAAGCAAGGAATCAACCAGAGCAAGAATGGATCAACATACCAGGCTGATCGTCACTTTTTTTGATTTGTACATTCCAGGCCATGGGAGTCGGCAAGCAGGAAGCAGTAATTCTTGTATTTTACAGTTCAAACTTGTTTGTTTCACATTGTAAAAAAATGTTTTCAGTTTGAGAAGTACTCTTAACATCGATATTGTTTGTCACTCTAGATCCTGTTTATCATAACATGTTGAAAAAGCAATTACAGCGGTCAAGAAATTTGCATTTTAACCGGCCAGTCACTGGAAATAAGACATAAAAAAACGGTACATGTATGTTGATTGCCGTTCCTGATGCCAGCAGCAAGTCAGCATAAACTTCTTAAAAAACATTGCTATGCATAATGCAATTGCTCCAGCAATCAAAAGAAAAACTGACAACTGTCCGACTTTTATTTGTTCCATGACAAACATGTCTTCCTTTGGCATTCCACGGCAAGATTCTGACCACAGGAAATGCTGAGGGAACTGTAAACATTCCAGGTAGTCCTTCCAGACAAATCCACAACATCTGTAGGTACATGGATATGACACTTTGAAGTTCCTTCCCTTTTCCACTTCCAGCATGTCCAGGGCATGAGTTTCCTGTTTTTCCTTGTATGCAAAAGCCATTTGGGAAACTATATTCAAGGGCACTCATTCCTGCACATTAACTTCAGAACCGCTATCACGGCATGACAATTTATCCATGACTTTTCTCATGACTTCCATGACGGAGTTTTGTTTCCATGATCAAAGAAAACCTGCGGCATGCATGTGGCCAAGGGCCACCACAAATCACAGACGAGCAGAGCATTTCATGCAGAGATACATGTACCGGTATCAAGGCAACAAATATCCAAAGATCTAAAGATTTCACGTGCAATGCACATTTGGGCCTCTAGCTCTCGGAAAAACTATCCGGGAACAACAAGATACATGACCATTCTCCCCAGGAGGCGATCGGGCCAGGCAAGTCAAATATCTTTTTGAGGGCGATTGTATTCATGATAAGGACATGCATGCTAAAAGGAATGCGGAGGTGGGGAAATCGATGCAATCACGAATACATGAACATGATGAATCCGAGAGCATCTTGGCGAAAATGTCACATGCTAAAGACATGGACGCCAGGTCCACATTCACGGGGGGATATGATATGATCAGCCAGATAAACTTTTTATAATCCCAGACGGGCGCAGACCAGGTCAGGTGGAAGAGAGTGCTCGCTGATTCATTCTCACAGGACGGTAATATATTCAATGTGGTCAGCTATCGCAATTCAAGATCAGTTCCTGACCTCCAATGGTTAAAAACAGTCGAAGAAAACTGACTGGAATGGGATTCAAACCCCAAACCTCCAGTGCTGGTCTGGTGCTCCACCCATCGAGCAGAGGCATAGTCGTGTCCAAATCACACATGCTCAGGGAAGTCACTAGCTAGTTTTTAAACCGACTTCCCATGTGCATGCTTGTTATTCTTGGTCCAAGCCAAGTTATATGGACATGGCTATACTTCATTATCAGAACAAGAGAAAAATCCTGAACTCATGTAACCCACTAAACACCAGAGAAATGAATATCTTTCAGAAAAATGGAAACCCAACAAGCTTAGTTTCACAGTATACTCACATTCCCAAGGTGCCCTCATTTCTTTCTTTTTTTTTTTTCCTAAGAGCTGCGACCGGAATGGGTCCCATTTACATGTATGGGGCATCTGGTTGCAATTTCTATTGATTCTGAGGCGAGGAGGACTCCAGTCTCAGGCTCTGAACTGCACCATTTTTTTCCCCCCAACAACTCACCTGTGTGTGTGGGCAGGTGGGGGTAGTGTTTCCAATCTGTTGGGTAAATACTGATTTCAGGACAAACACAAATCTAAAGAGAGAATGTTTCACAGTCAGATTCCAAATATTAAATGCGAGATTTGTTTTCAGGCCCAAACTGGAGACACCCGCAAATGGTGCTTGGAAGATGTTTGCTTGAACGAGATACAGTCATGAATAACGGCAATTAAACCAATGGAAGTACAATTCCCCCCCCCCAAAAAAAAGTGATGAATAACTGGAGGCTAGGGAGTCAAATCAAAATGATGACCTGATTCTGATTAGAAATCAAACCTGGTGTTCAAGGCATTGCCAACTCAAATATTTGTGCTCGGAAACTACATGTACACTCCCCCCCCCCGCCAAAATTTCAAATCACCATGCACGCTAGAGCAAGGTAAACAAGCCAAGGAAATAAAACTCCATCACAAAAAATCTGACGATGGTAATAGCAATCTCTCGATAGTCTTTGGGGGAGAGAGGGAA